AACAACATTAAGTATTAACCATCTTAACATGAACGATTGAACGAACACAAAATGGACATGATTCAATTGAGTAATACAAAATGAGGTAAAACATTGTTATGTTAAACAATCGTTTTTGTTAGCTTCAATAATAAATTTACCTAACAAATTCAGTTCTTTTACATTGTGTGTGTTTACTTATGCGTTAAGTTTGAATACAGATGTTTTTTGCCAGTGATAATTTTTAATACATTTTCTCCTTAAAAAATTGAAATATCTCTATTAGGTCACGGTTACTACAATATCTATTATTCCTTGCAATATTCCTGTACCTTCCCGTTACTATTGCAAGATTGTGAGCTGACATACGTAATTTGGTAATCATAATTCGTCGTTGTTTTGGTATAAACAGTATAAATAATATTGTAGCATCAAGATATCTACCATATGTCTATAGATCACATTTACTTGAGATGGCCAACGAGTTAAATAACGTTTGCTTTGCTTCATCATCTATGCGCTGTTTAATAATAGGTAATAGACAGATGTCGGTAGCTGCCTGCCTTATCCATATATATCCAAACCCTAGTTCAAATAATTTATGCTTTATGAATAATAACCAACTTTGTTTCGGGTTTTCCCTCGAAGTTTCTTTTAATAAAAACTGATATTCTTATTTTAGAATACAATTTGCACAATTTAACAATTAAAACCAATATTTAAACATTTTAAGTATCTGATTATTTGCCAGAGGAAGTCGTCCAAGCTCAAAATATACCATTGCATTACACGTAGATTTTTTAACACACAGTATATTTTTACAAAATTCCATATGAACCCTTTCTATTTCAACTCCTTTATAACTACCCCATATTTCACAGCCATAATATAATACACTACTCACATATGTGTCAAAGCGGTGTAGCATAGTTTTTATGTTTAAATAAATGTGTTTACACCAAGACCGTAAGGCAAAAAACGCGTTACGACCGTGATCTGCTACATGTTTAACCATAAAACTGAATTTGTTATTAAATCTAAACCCCCAGATAACAGAATTGATCCACAATTGAAATGTTGTTGCCGTTATATACCCAGCTTTCTGATTCCCTGATATTTCCACTTTTTCTGAAAACAATAATTTTGGTTTTATCGGTGTTGACTGTTAATTTCCACTTATTCGAATACTCACTTAGATTGTTCAAGTGGCGTTGTAAATCATCGATTGACTCAGAAAACAAAACTAAATCATCTGCATATAAAAGAAGAAATAAACTCAATTCCCCAAAATTCCCCAAAATCGTAATGGGATGCGCCATTTTCTATAAAACTATTTTCAAAATCATTTATAAACAAAGAAAAAGTAACGGGGACACAATGTCCCCTTGCATCAATCCAACATTATTAGAAAAAAGTTCGAACATTTTTCATTAACTGAAACACAAGATTTAACTAATGAGTATAAAGACTTAACTGTAAATGTAACAGTCTCAAAAATCAAAGAGATGTTGTGGGTTCGATGGTATTTTTATTACGTGTAAATAAAACTCTAGAAAACAAAACATAAAATACATTACTCACACACCCATATCATACGCCGCAAAGAACGATAACTCTTTACTTACATATATATTGCGATTCAATCAGTTATTCTCGTTTATACCTAATTGAGAGATGTTAATTGCATTTTACAATATACAATTTATAACTAGAAATATAACTTTATCCCTTTTTTCCATTTAAGAATGAAAAGATAGCTACGGTTAAATGTATTAAATTAACACACCTCAAAAACAAATATTTTTACCTCCGACACAAGGCTTTGTTAACTGCCACCACAGGCTTACTCTATCTACAAAATCAAAGGCTTGCGGAAATCTACAAAACAACAATATAACCTCTTTTTTCAGATAAAGTTTTCGAAATTATAGTTATAGTTATGCATGCACGAAGATATAATTTGGATGGGATGTTGCAAATGATTACATTTTCTACTTAAAGTACTAAGATAAAATGCAGACCACTCGATTTGCACCAGCCCAGAAGAAGATAATGCAGATATATCGAATGTTTTATACATCACAATGCTAATGGTTTAGAATATAAGAAGCTAAAAATTGCTACAACGCCAAACCTGGTGTGAAATATCTAGTTAGTCTGTGAACCTAATGATATTTTATATTCACGTTTACGGGAATGTCGTCAAGTTAGTGAAGACAACCTTGTTTCTGGTCTAAATAACTACTACATTTGTAACTAAACAATGGAAAATCATGGTTGTTGATTTTATGGAGTCTATTTATTATAAATTGTTTGTAGGTATGGGGGACAGGGAAATTGTACCGAGGGTGTGAGAATTAGGTAAAAAAACTGAGACTATTCCGTGGTTTTATACCTAACGTCTACTCGGTACCAGATACCAAGTATATTTGGTGGTAGACAGTCATGATCAACCGCTGTCTAAAATGTCAATTGCATAACGTAACGTGTTGATATAAATTAAGTCACGTTTCAGAACGCCGACCGCTGGACTATTGAATTTTTGTTTTTAGGAACTACCTAATCAGGGTTAAAAAAGTAATATAGCAAAACTCTAGTCAGGAAATTATTCAAATAAAAACTAAACATAAATATAGAGATTTTCAAAATACCATTACCAGTGACATCCAAACCACGAACAGCTTTTTAAATTTAACCTCATCGCACACCCCATTGTGTCCCATAACTTAATTATTACTGTACAAACACAATGTACCGTGTATGTAGCTCCAAAATCAGGTAATTTGATATTCCACATGGTTTTTGAGTTTCTGCGTATCAGTACTAGTTAAACGGTTCGTATTTTTGTTCATGCTGGCCATAATAGGTAGTAGTACAAACTTGTATCTATGTCAAAAGTATAGTATACCTGTAAATGTATGTTTTTTAAAGATATACATTGTCAAGTTCCTTTAAAATGTTACCCACAATAAGCTGTGAAGTCTGTTTTATTGTTAACACGTTAGACAAGATATATCAGAAAGGACAGAATGAGATGGTGTTTTTACAATAACAGAACTATCATTCTAAACTAACGCAAATGTATTTCAAGGTCCAGCGCGCTTCGAATCGGAATTTACGCCATCTGAAATATTTATACATGTAACCAGATAACGTTTTCACACGAACTAATGAAATACGCCACGCTGGTTTGTTTATATTGGATATTATTCCTTCGCAACAGCCAATGTTAAATGAAGACGTGTCTATTGGTCATGGTGTAATACACCTATGAGGACATATGCAAATTATGTCAACTGAGCCGGTTTCATGAAACCGTTCTCATGCTCAAGCATGCACTCTGTGCTCAAGCTAACTTTTTGTAGCTTGCTTTAATCTGATAACGCGGTCAAAATGTTAAGTGTAAAGATTAAAAAACAAAAGAAGGGGAATAGAAGACACTACAGGCATATTACATTTGAAATACAAACATATGGTTTTTAAACTACCATTAAAACAGTTTATATCATAATAGTAAAAACACAATGTCAAAGTACAAACTCACTGCAGGAACGAAAGGAAAATAATAAAAACCAGAAACAAAAGAATAAACCTTAAACAATACGTCAAGGACAAATGTTAACATGATTAACTGATATGATTTTAGATGTTTAGAATACAAAGCTAACAAACTATCTCATATACTTCACTATAATATATTTACATATAACTTCTGAAACGGCTGGTTTACGGTAGAAAATGTTTAAAGCCACGATGTTTTCATACAAGAATAAAACTTGATCTCAAACTCAAAACAAAACCACACGCTCGTTACATAAGCGTTTTAAACGATAGATTTGTTTTTTGATATATATGATTTCCGTTTTGTAAAACCAATTCCACTTCAGGGATATTATTTATGGACAAATGGATTTCAAAACAACAACTTGGTATGATGTTTGCTATTACGATTCTTTTCTGCATTATACAAAATATAAGAAATTATTTAAAAATAGTTTAACTCCAAAAAAGCCCTTAATTTTTCTGCAAATACAGAAAAATTGGAATGTATAAGAAAACATGTTTCATGGTCTGTATACATATGAAAAGTGAGTATCTACCTCAAACACCATATTCCGAATTGTATGGCATTAAAGTCATTGAAAAGAAATAAGAAACATAGTTGGAATAAGAGAGAGTGCTCGGCCGTGCTTGTCGAACGCATTCATAATGCGTGAAGGTGTGTTTCTCTACCCTGTCAATCAATACAATGCGCGTCAACCATATCCATAGGAGAGACAACGGAACCGTAGATATAGGTAAGTCAATATACTCGACCGCGGGAATCTCTTTATCAGATCTAACTACCTGTCAGTTAATGAAGTACAAAACACGCTAGGTTTGAATATGTCACTGTGGTCTGGTAGTCACAGAGGAAGGTACATGTCACAGACGCATTGGGCATGGAGTTATGGGACATGGATGTATGACTTTACGAAGCACCAATTTCCCATTGGACGTATCCACCTATAAACGTCCAGACAACAGACATTGCTGGCGGAACACCGAACTGTATATTTGAAAAACGATATTAACTACAAACTGATCTTTTCATCAACAAATATGAATTGAACGTCACGTATAACGAAACAAAGCCTATTCGGGACGACATGGATTTACATTGAGTAAATGGCAAATACTGCTCCGGTTTCAACCAGTTGGTAATTCGATCCTGTACTATCTGACAGGACTTAAAAGGTAGTCATAGGAAATTGTGCATTATTATACAGTACATGCGATCAATGTTTTGCTAGGCAACTTTGTTGTTATAGTGCCGCGCTTGTTTAGAAAACCATTATGCTATGAGAATTGTCAGAACATCGGCAAAGCAAAGATAGGTTCGTTTTTGTCATATGAAGCTTTGAATAGTTAAAAGACAATACTAAACGTGTCATTGTTTTAATAACAATTTGAGTGACTATGAAAATAAGCAAATATGCATGATTACCAATAAAGGGATAATAAGGAAGCTTGAAAGAGGATCTAAATACTGTTGCATTTACCGTCTGTAAACACTACCTCTGACTTTGAATCATAGCTCCGGGGGCAAGGTCTACAACGTTATTCTGTTCCTGTTTTTACTAGATAATGGACCGTGACTGGAAAAATCTTATCAGGGTAAACATCACCATTGCACGAGAAGGGATTTACTGACCGGAAGCATCGTGAAGTGATACATCAATAGGTTGATAGGACTACTCTTAAAAATGATAGGTTAGAACGTCACAAATCAAACAAATCGAATCTGTGCTATTACTTGCATAAGGGAATATTTGGCTTGTGTTGCATAAAATGGGTTCTGATAATTCTAAAGCAGTGAAACAAAATAGCGAGACTCCAGCTACAAGCCGGCTACTGGTACCATACCCAGTGTTCACCTATGACGAAAAGCATCATCAACGTATAAACTGTCTGAGTTTTAGTCCCAACAAAGACTTCCTGGTATCCGGGGGAGAGGATGGTACCGTCCGTATATGGGAACTTACCACGAGAAAGTGCGTCGACGTCCTGAAGGGTCATGAGAGCTATATCACGTGTATTATAGCACTTGAGGAATTCGTGGTGACCGGGAGTGGTGACAAATCGATCAGGAAATGGAACTTCAATAATGGGGAACTATTGGGCACATTTGAGGGTCATCATGGCATGATAAGCAACCTGGATATTTACGAAAACTTTTTGTTTTCCACCTCTTTCGATAAAACGGCAAGGATATATAACTTTTCAACTGGAGAATGTTTATTTTCGCTTGAGGGGCATACAAAACTGATCTCCTCAATGATTGTAATGCCACAGAGAGAACTGTTGCTCACCGGTTCAGGAGATGGGACAGTGCGGACATGGAACTGTACATCTGGGGAAACAGCTCTGACGTTTAGCGGTCATACAGGCCCGATTCTCTGTGTCAAGGTAGACGTGGACAAACGCCATCTCTATACGGGAGGGGACGATAAAATCGTGCGACAGTGGGATCTGGATACGGCTGCGCCTAAGACACGGTTTATAGGTCATTTCAGTGCCGTCCTATGTCTCTGCGTAAGTATATATTACATTATACAGTGAACATGTGTTTATTGGGAATACGATTCATCAGTTTGGTATGAATAATAAAGTTATTTTTGAACGCAAACAAGAATTGAAAAGTTATTTTGTGAGCTTTCGAAAACGCCTGTTTCCTTTGTCAGGCAAAGAGTTAAATGGCCGGTGTCTCGACTCTTAGCCGCTGAAAATAGCCCACTAAGCAACTGTGGGCAGAATCAAGTAAAGTCAGTTGTCAAAAAGCATAGAGACATTTCGCCCAATTGCACTCTAATAATGCAGTCAGTCTGGTGTCCTAACTTTCCGGACAGTTTCCCCGATGTATGTAAGGTTGCAGCTGTTGCATTGAGTTTAGTAATCCACCCCCTGTTATGGTAATCCACCCCCTGTTATGATAATCCACCCCCTGTTATGGTAATCCACCCCCTGTTATGGTAATCCCTCCCTGTTATGGTAATCCACCCCCTGCTATGGTAATCCACCCCCTGTAATTGTAATCCCCCCCCTGTTATGGTAATCCATCCCTGTTATGGTGATCCACCCCCTGTTATGGTAATCCACTCCCTGTTTTGGTAATCCACCCCCTGTTCTGGTAATCCACCCCCTGTTATCGTAATCCACCCCCTGTAATTGTAATCCCCCCCCTGTTATGGTAATCCACCCCCTGTTATTGTAATCCACCCCCTGTTATGGTAATCCACCCCCTGTTATGGTAATCCACCCCCTGTAATTGTAATCCACCCCCTGTTATGGTAATCCATCCCTGTTATGGTAATCCACCCCCTGTTTTGGTAATCCACCCCCTGTTATGGTAATCCACCCCCTGTTATGGTAATTCACTCCCTGTTATGGTAATCCACCCCCTGTTATGGTAATCCACTCCCTGTTTTGGTAATCCACCCCCTGTTATGGTAATCCACCCCCGGTTTTGACCTCTTTTGGCCCACTGTGGCTTAGTGAGTTGTTTTCAGTTTAGAGTCGAGACACCAGTCATTCACACTCATTGCTTGATGAAGGAAGCAAACGTTTTTGAAAGCTCGCAAAATAATTTCTCAATTCCTATTTGTTTTCAAAATAAAAAAAAATGTGGTAATTGAACCACGCATAGTGGTAAATTGTAAAAGTACATAACTAATAATAGAGATAGTATACACCAGTTAAGGAAAGACCGACAAACCGGTTCTTTTCAGCTGTTCCATGCCTACATTGGTCATTCATGCTGACACTGGTAATGTTTTCCTCAAATTACTATGATTATGTTTTGATTTAATTTTTAACCTCTTTTAAATGAATAATATTTCACTTTGTGTAGAAAATGATATCTTCAACATTTAAAAGTGCTTGCAATGGAAAAATTAGAAAAGAAAAATAATGTTTGATTTCTCCATGCCATTTAACTATATAAGCACTGTCTGAATGAGTTAATGTCGATCAATACATACCATAATAATTGTTTTCTTTTAAATATTGACAAATGTAACAATGCACATGACTGTTCTATTGTTATTGACAAAATGAGAGGGAATGGATTTACCCATCAATCACAACTGTTTAACATTTCAAACAAACTGAAAATATGCAAGTGCAGTTGTCAATTGGTAAACGCTTTTTCAAAAAGGAAGATATTTATATTCTTTATAATCTACGAGCCTTTCGATAATTTACCTAAAATATTAGAAGCTAACCCACTGACTTGAATATTATTATCTGTGATAAATTGCGATTGATTTAAGTCCTAGACTATGGACTATGTTCGGTTGTGTTAGACTTGTCGCCCCGGTTTCTCTAAAGTTACTTGAATTTAAGAAATTCTTTAACTAAAAGTTCCGTAGATAAGCATTACCAAAGTTAAATTGGTAAGGTAGTCTAGTGGTAGGACGCCGGGCTCGTGACGAAAGGGTTGCGGGTTCGAGTCACGGCACGGTGTTGTATTTTTGAGTAAGATACTTTGCTCCACGTGTTCCAGTCTACTCAGCTGTAAATGAGTACGTGGTTGGGTGGCGATAGAATTGTTGAATGATAGCTGTTAGCGCCGAAATAGCAGCACCGGATGTATGCTCCCCAGGGAGTTGAGAACGATATTGGGTGGTTGCAAAGGCCCTATAACCACGGATAATATTTTGTGAACCGCTTTGAGACGAACTACGTTGTGATAAAGCGGTATATAAGAACCTCGAATTATTATTACTATTATCAAATTAATTTTCCTTAATTTATGATTTATCTCTAAAACTTTTATATAGGTTTCCGTTTAGAATACCTAAGTTTAGGGACTTCCGATATTGTCCTGATTTGTTTGCACTAGTGTATTGTTACGATAGATTCCCCGATATTAAGTCTTCAATCCACACACATACATGTATATGTTTGGAAGGTACGTTTAATATCACAGCTGATAAACAGTAATAACATCCAAAAATGTCATTCCTATCGTAGGAGAACACCCATGTCCAAACTTCGAAACTTGGAGAGTAGATTTCTGTTTGATTGTCTTTAAAATCCGTTCTCCATTCATTTTATTTTCACGGCTTTTGACATGTAGCTACTTTATATTGCTGACTCACTAGGTCCACTACCGCATCATCAGCACACTAAATCATATCTCATTTCCTCCTGTATCATGAAAAGAGAATAGTAAAACGTCACAGATAAGTATGGAAATGGACGTGTATACAAGAGAGGAAGAAACAATCGTTTTCAATAGGAACATTAAGTCAATGTAAAAGAGGAGATCACAACGGAAAACCCATTATTCTATAAAATGTCTCACACGAATCTCCATTTCACCATCTTAATTACTTTATGCCACCAGTCACTAGCATGATAGTTCCATTTTTATTGATTGCCAGTGAAGAACATTTTTAAAGGGAATAACAAACGACTTTTAAATGGATTTTGCTATTTCTATTTTTGTTCTCACTTCTTAGTGGTTGATCGACTTCATGTGGCGATAAATTGAGTTGGTCTTTAGAGTTTTTGTTTGTTTTTGTGCTCAGATCTAGGCTCTTTTTCCCCTTTCTCCAGATTTCATATATCACAATATATGATAATATTAAGTAAATATATAGTCACATATATTGTCACAATGTTAATGTATTCACATCCCTTATATTTTGTTACTAAACACATTTCACATTTCATCAGTCCCATTTACAAACACAAAGACAGTCTCTCGCACTACCTCTTCACCTGTGCACGTTCACTAACATTACGTACATTACAAACTCGCGCGTAACTGAATGATCATAATTCAATATCGTCTGTAATTACTAACACAAACACAAAAAAACGCGTATTCCCTACTCCTAACACACTAACACACAAACACACACACACACGCACACACACCAACACACACCCACATACACATTCTAGCACATGCTCATCCCTTGCATACACATTTACATGGTTACATGCAAATCCTGTACATACTATTTCAATTTACACATCTTTACCAAAAAATCGTAACTTAAGGTGCTAAGCGCCCTGAGCCTTCTATTCAGTATTATCATCATTGCACCTTTTTTATTCTTTTCACTGTTTTTTACTCGTTTAATACCATTACTCGTTCAAAGACTTTGCCATATCTTTTAATGATTTAATATCTCTATATCTCTGTAGTAGTAGCTTTCTCTCAAGGTATATTTTATATAAATATACAATCGAGCAAATGTCAATCCTTCTATTTGAGATGTGGTAATGTTTATATATTGTATAACCTATCAGAGACATAAGAATGTTAAATTCTTTGTACTTCGTGTCAACAATCTCAATGTAAAACATATTTCTTAACTCAACATTGTAATTATGTTTTCGTAGAAGCTCATTTATTAAATTCAACAATGATTCTACGCATTAACATTCAATAAAATAATGCATATAATCATCATTAACTTTACATATCAAACATTTTTCATTATCAATAATATTCTATATTTATGGTCTTTAGATTTTAAAGAACAAAAAAATTTGTATGCTACATTAATCCTAAGAACAAATCCCCGTGAAATCTGATAAAGTAATTTGCAATCAGTATATATCAATTAACACATGTTTTAATAATTGGGTCTGTTTTATCTACACCACTAGGCACTAAATAATGCTTTTGGTACAAGTTTATGTGTAAACGAGATACATGAAGTCAATCATTTGTCGGCTGTTGTTATGTCAAAAGCTAAACTTTATTCTTCAGTAGTTTCCACGTCTCTATATACTTTTTATATATACTATGGATTGTCAGTGAGGAAAATCTTTAAAGGGAATAGCAAACGACTTTTAAATAGATTTTGCTAATTTGGTTTTTGTTCTCACTTCTTAGTGGTTGATCGACTTCGTGTGGCGATATTTGGGTTGGTCTTTAGATTGTAAAGAACGGAAAACTGTGTATGTTACACTTGTCCTAAGAACAAATCCCCGTGAAATCAGATAAAGTTATTTGCAATCATTACATACCACCTAGTCTCGAATGTTTAATGACATCCTATATGTATATACTATATTTACATTTACTATGCTTTGAGAATGTTGACAATGGACCACCTAGCAACAAGTGGGTTATACGTCTATGGTTTATATACTATATTTACATTTACTATGCTTTGAGAATGTTGACAATGGACCACCTAGCAACAAGTGGGTTATACGTCTATGGTTTATATACTATATTTACATTTACTATGCTTTGAGAATGTTGACAATGGACCACCTAGCAACAAGTGGGTTATACGTCTATGGTTTATATACTATATTTACATTTACTATGCTTTGAGAATGTTGACAATGGACCACCTAGCAACAAGTGGGTTATACGTCTATGGTTTATATACTATATTTACATTTACTATGCTTTGAGAATGTTGACAATGGACCACCTAGCAACAAGTGGGTTATACGTCTATGGTTTATATACTATATTTACATTTACTATGCTTTGAGAATGTTGACAATGGACCACCTAGCAACAAGTGGGTTATACGTCTATGGTTTATATACTATAT